CACAGAAGGTTTAGACTGTGTAGACATCCAGGGAAATTGACATGTTCTTCCAGGGAGATGGGGCAACAATATTGATATCTTTCTTCCCACCTGTGGTCCCAAATCATGAGCAGGTTTGTATTTGGCTTCTTGGGGTGGGGGAGGAGATAAACGGCTACAGAACAGGCTTTCAAGTCAGGCAGGCATGTGACTTTCGCCTTCAATCCCAGCACTGAGGAGGGTGAGGCAGGAGTTCCTACCTCAAAACCACACATAAGCAGGCTACTGTCCCATCAGCCTGTACTTCCTAGATGTTGTATTGATAGTAAATAGATGATATTTACCTCTAGCCTAAAACATTCTCACCGTTTCTTGTTTTCTGTAGTATGTTAGTAGTATGTTGTAGTATGTTACTGTTTGCCTCTGGCCTCTTTCACTTAGCATAGGGCTTTTGATAGTCAACTATATTGTCATCAGATTATATCTCTCATTTCCGAGTAGTATTCCATTTATGGACATATCACAATTTATTAATTTACAAATAGAGAGATAACTGAATTATTTTTAGATTTTATGAATAAATTTGCTATAAAAATATGTATGTTTTTCAGTGAGTATCTGTATTCCTTTTCTTGAAGTAAATACCTGGGACTAGTAACTTCCTAGGAAATTTGCAAACTTTTTCCCCCATTTCCCCATTCCCCCAAGCAGCATGCAACAGTTCCTGGTGCTGTCCCTGACTAGAGATTATCCATTTCCTTGATTTTAGATAGCTTCAAAATTCATGGCTTTGATTCTCTCTCTCTCTCTCTCCCTCTCTCTCTCTCTCTCTCTCTCTCTCTCTCTTTCTCTCTCTCTCTCTCTCTCAGCTGCACTATAAAATAAACCCTTTGCTAGCTAAATGTACTTGGTTCTGTCCTGTCAAAAGTTCACATTTTCCAGAATGTGAGATTGTGGCCTTATATGGAACTAGTCTTTACACGTGCAATTGGGTCTAGAGGAAGTGGTAATAGCTTACAGTGGACCTTAATTCTCGTGGCTGCCATTCTAGGTATGAGCCATGTGACGTTACAAAGAGACTGGGGAGGTCACCATGTGATGGTGGAGGCAAAGGCTGGGGATGTGTGGAAGATCCTTCCTCAGGGCCTCTGCAGGGAGTATGGTTCTGCAACCAGTTATCTCTACCACCTGTCTGGAATTAAACAAAGCATCACTTTGTAGTTTAGGCTGGCCTAGCATTTTTATTCTTAACTTTGGAATTATTTATTACAAAGAGAATGAGTCAGCCATAGTGTGTGCATGCAAATCAAAGGTCAACTTCCAGGGGCTGGCTGTGACCTTCTACCATGCGGGTATCATTTTGTTGTGGGACAGGATTTCTAGGGAAATGGGAACAAACATCTCCTCACCGGAAAAGGGGATCAATGAGAGAATCAGAGAAGGATCCCACAAGGTCCAACTTGGTGAATGAGCTTTACTGGAGTTAGAAATATGGGCAAGCGGTTCCTCACAGGAGTGGAAATGATCCAAAGACAGCTGCATCACCAAAGCCCACGCCATCATGGGTAACAGCCAATGAAAGCTGGAATCCTGGAGCTCACTGCACAGCCTACAGGCAGATGGATGGGTTACAATGTTTCTTCAGTCAGCTCAGCTGGTCCAAGGGTGTCTCCCTAGTCCTTACTGTTTATGTACACTGGGGGACAGGGACCCATGATATTTAGTCAGCTCCAGGAACTTCTGGGGCATTTGAGTCTTCTACTTACCGAATCGATGAGACACACGTCTTGCAAAATGTTATGTGAATGATTAAGAAATGGTGCTTATTTTAGGGCTTTGTTTTGTTTTGTTTTGTTTTTCAGCACAGTGAACTGGAATGCAACTCTGATGTTGGGTTTATTTATTTATTTTTTAGTTTTGTAGATTTGCTTTAATTTTGTTTGTGTGTGCACGCACTAACCCAAGAAGGCCAGAAGAGGGCATCAAAGCCCCATAAGCTAGAGTTACAGGTCTTAGGGTTTCTATTGCTGTGATAAAATACTATGGCCAAATCAACTTGGGAAAGAAAGAGTTTCTTTCAGCTCACACTTCCAAACCACAGTCTATCACTGAAGGAAGTCCAGGCAAGAACTCGAGGCAGGAACTGGATGAGAAGTCACGGAGGGATGCTACTTTCTGGCTTGCTCCCCAAGGCTTCCTCGGCTGCCTTCTTAAAGCATTCAGGACCACCAGCCCAGATGGGGGCAGCACCCATAGTGAGCTGGACCCTCACATATCCATGATAACTAAGATGATGCCTTAGAGGCTTGTCCATGGACCAGTCTGGTAGAAGTATTTCTTAATTGAGATTTCCTCTTCCAAGATGATGGTGTCAAGTTGACAGAAAACCAGGCATCATAGCTGCCCAACAGCCATGGATGTTAGGAACCAGCTTAGCAGCGATAAATCATCTCTCCGATCCCATGATCTTAAATTTGTTAAATAATTTGTTCATTCTAATTCTTCTTATCATGAATTCTAGCTCAACAAAAAGACTTCTTCTCTGTGTTTTGCTTGTTTGTTTTTTGTTTTGTTTGCTATTTCATAAAGTGCTGATTATCCCAATGTTAGCACAATGTTCTTACAGCCTCCGAGAGGAGGAGAATGATTTAACCCTCAACTTCGTGTTAGATCTCTCTGGGGTCCTTAAAAGGTAGTGAGAGCTCCCCACCCCAACCCCCTGAAACAAAAGGGGATTCTTTGTTCAAACACATACTCCTAGCTCTGTTATTATCCAGCTAATTCAACTAAAGGAACGCTTACCGCTCAAGCTGACATAACTTGCTGAATAGCTACTGTGACAGGACAGAAACACAGACAACTGGCGGAGCGCAGCAGATGTGGAAGCAGGAAGTCCACCAATGAAACCTGACAATCATTTTCTTTATTTGAACAAGGCCCTGCCGATTAGCAATGCGAGTTACATCAAAAGCCTACCAGTTGGTCACTAGGGATTACAGTATGGATCTAGAAGTGGCACCTGAGCTCACTGAGCCCCTTGGGAGTTGCCCTCTGGGTTATGAGCTGTGATTAGTGACTATACTGCGCAGTTTTGCAAGTGTAGCCAGCCAGTGGAAGCAATCATGACTTCCACAAAAGATTGCAGAGCACGGCAGCTTGCCATTTGAGCTGAGCCTGTGCTATTCAGTGACCCATATAAAGACAGGCCCATTCTCACCCCGCTCTGTGATGAGCATAAGGTGCCCTTTGTTTTGAGTGAACACAGAATTGGCTTATTGGGCCGGGGAGATAAGGACTTAGGAGATGGAACCACCTCCTTCCAACTTCGAGCAATATCAAAGGTCTTTGGAAGAACGTGTGCACCTTCATGGTCTTGGGTCAGGCTGTACACAGGAACAACATTCCTCTTAGAATCCATCCCCCATACTGAAAACTATAAAATCACAATGGCACAGTGCCCAAATGGCCTTCGGAGTGCTGCTGCCCAACTTAACAGGCAGACACTGTCCCTCCTTCAGGAGCACACCAAAGGCTAAGACCAAACTGCTCAACTCCTTTAACAAACTTCACAGCTCCAGCACACGGAGCAGAGGGTGTTTGCTCCAGGCAGAAAACCAAGCTCATTGTTGTGGATGCTGGCACCCTTACCAGATGATTAAACAGATACTTCAGTGGTGACAATCAAGCAGCTAGCACTGCCTATTGCAGACACACAGAATTCTATCTAATTAGATTGCATCAGGATAGGACATGGAGTAGCTAGACAGTCTCTCAGAGTGGCACAGCTATCACATGTGGTATAATGTGACTCAAACAGACAAATCCTAACCACACCCCTTCAGCCCTTAAACTATTATCAATTACATTTTAAAAATTAGTTCGCACCGGGATTGGTGGTGCACACCTCTAGTCCCAGGGGCAGGCAGATCTCTGTGAGTTTGAAAGTTTGAGATCAGCCTGGTCTACAGAGCTAGTTCCAGGACAGGCTCCAAAGCAATACAGAGAAATCCTGTCTCAAAAAACAAACAAATTAACAAAAAATGATGAAACTGAATCACTAACAAACCAAACCAGAAATGTGTGTGGGTGCCTTCCTGAAATTGCATCCATCTAGACAGCTCTGCCTTCCTCCAGGAGTAAATTAATCCAACCCTGAGCCTGGCTTGGTTACCTGGAGCTTTTGGGTGCTACTGTTTGGGTAGTCTGCACGCAAACTCAGAGCCATAAGCTGCAAACTCGTGGAAGCCACACACTGGGCTACAGAGCTGGCTAGACTCCCAAAGCCTTTTGTAGACAAAGTACTTGACACCAGCTATTCATGAACAAAAGAATTAATGAGGGCCAGGGATATAGCTCAGTTGATGGAGTGTTCAACTGGCATCCAAGAAAACCTGGGTTCGACCCCCAGAGCCTCATAAAACAAGGTATTGTGATATCAGCAAGCATGTGATTCTCAGCATTTAGGAGGTGGGGCAAGAAGGTCTTAGGTCTGATGTCATCCTGACCTACAAACCGAGTTCCAGGCCAAGCTGAGCTAAATGAGACCCTGTCTCAAACAATAAACTCCATCTCAAGGCAATTCTTGGCTATTTTGTTGTTCCTCCTCCGATGAAAGCCTACAGATGACATCACTAGTTTATGATAAAGGAGAAGAAAACTCAGGATAAGAGGGTAGAACAAAAGTGGCTGTAACAAAGGCGAGTTTCCAGATTACCAAGCACTGGGGTAGCACGTTATAGTTGGTCCCTCAGCATCACTGGCACAACAGGCCTAGTACAGACAGTTCTGAGTGACAGGCTTCCCCTGAGCCTGGCCACCAGGTCCCCTCCACCCCCCACTCCCCAAACCCACGCAGCGCCCGCCCCCGCTTCCACTGATTGACAGGAGGCACAGCTACTCCTAGGAGCGGACTTTTTGCCCGGGCAGAACGACAAGCCTGCGGAAGCCAATGACGTTCCAGTAACGGGGTGGGCGGAGACAGGTCAGGTGCTCTGCGCTGGGGCTGCCCGCAGGTGATCTGGATCTGCTGCCTCCCTTTGCTCCCGCCACCTCCCCGCCCCAAACGCTCCAGGACAAACCGAAGGCAGCGCGGGTGAGTCCCCTGTGGATGAGTGGCCTGCCTCCCGAGGCCCACACTGGGACTTTGTCACTAGCCCAGGGGGCGGGGAGGCCTAGTAACCCCAATGGAGAGGAGGCGGTGCACTCACCCACCCACCTATCCCCTCGAACACCTTTATATAAACCCGCTCGTCTTTCCTGCCCCCCTCTGCGCTTTGATTGGTGTTCCTGATTGCCCAGGCTGTGGGAGAAAGGCTGGGGGAAGGAAGGACTGGAAAGGCCAGGGCAATTTGCATCCAAATCTGGAGGTTATCAGGGCTTCCTGCGGTTTCTGCGTAGAAAAGAGAATGTCTTTTTTTCCCTCATTCCCGCCCCCGCCTGCGCCATGTCACCCATGTAATTATGTTGTTGTTGTTGTTGATATTTTAATTGACGAGGATTCCTGAGCTTTAGACAGCACTTCATGTTTCCTTAGTTCAGTTTGCCCCAGGAAAACAGTTTTCTTCTGTTTACTGAAATTAACTGAGTTTCCTAAAACAGACGAGAATCAAATATTCCGTGCAATTGATTGTTTCTTGGCGGTAAATTATATTTGGTTGATAACAAGTTTCCCTCGCATTAGTGAGATGGAAGAAAAAAGTTGGGGGAAAGAAAAGGGGAAGGAACTGGAATCAGTCACAAAGGTTAGTCAGTGTACTTGCAGTGAGTGACCTGCATCAATCAACTCTTCCTTTGTAGCCTTTATTAATTTTGCTTCCAGAATTGAACAAAAATGAGTGGCATTTTAAGATGCAGTATTAAATTTATGTTTAGAATCATTGCCTTGAGACAAATATCTAAAACAGTTTCAAGTTTAGGTGAAACTAGTTTAAAAAAACGAAACAAATTTTAGCCTGGTAGTGGTTGTGGTACAGGCCTTTAATCGGCAGCACTTGGAGGCAGAGGTGGAGATAATTGGATCTCTGTGAGTTCAAGACCAGCTTGGTTTACGAAATGAGTTCCAGGACAGCCAGGACTATACAGAGAAACACTGGCTTAAAAAACCAAAAAAACCCAACTAAAAGGAAACAAAAATCAAATCTTCTATGTAGCTTCTATGTAGCATTTGCACACAGCTCGTGCTTCTGCAAGCAAAGACAGCATGCCACACAGGTAATTTTCCCCTGTCTAGAGCATAGCAGGGCGAGACAGGGCCACTTCTGAGTTATGACAATGTCTTCACCGTATTTCAATTAGGAAGACACCAGAAGCTAAATGTACAAGATTTCCTTGCAGAAATCGTGGTGAGGGTTATTAATGTCATTAGAGTTATTAGAATTATTAGTTATTAATTAGGTTCATTAAAAGAAAAACACAAGATGCTGCCTTTGTGCAAGCCTGACAAAAACTGTCAAGATTTGTGTAGGATCATTTGTCCATGCTTCATACTTGCGTCGGCTTTTAAGAAACAAAGTGCCAATGTAAAAGAAAAACAAACGTGGATTCAAGAAATTGAATCCTGGGAAATGCTTTCTTATGCACCTCATTGATAAGATCAACTGCTGACTGATTGTAACCCTGGGGAAAGTCGAAATCGAATTTGAGAAGTTTTATTCCTTTTATACTTAGTTTAGAATCCGTGCAGTGCACAGAACCATAAGACTTGATTATTAACAAATTAATACAAATATATTTATAAATATATTTGTAAGCCACACATTTTATTTCATTCAGCAAACCATGTTTAGCTAGGCAGTGGTGGAGTATGGCCCTAATCCCAGCACCTGGGAGGCGGTGGCAGGTGGATCTCTGTGAGTTCCATGACAGCCAGAGCTTCATAGAGAAACCCTGTGTTGGGAAAAACAAAACAAAAGACACAAAGAAAAAAGAAACCGTGTTTGTCTACTTTCTTTATAGAAATTTCTTTGAAGACAGAGTATTCAAACATAGGGATTGGCTATGAAAAAGTAATGTGTGTGTGTATCTGTGTTTAAGTGCCACTATTGAATAGGTTAATAGTATTTCCTGTTGCTAAGTTTCTGTATTTCTTCTATGTATAAATTCCTGCAGTCACTTGACTATATGTAAGATTCTGAACAGAGTTCAGGGTTGGGCATATCAGATGGTTCACCAGGTCAGGTGACTTCAGACAAACTTGAATTCACTCCAAGGACCCACATAGTTGGAAGAAGACAACTAACCCTCAGAAGTCATTCTCTGATTCCCACAGGCACACTATGGTTTGCATGTGTATAAACACACACACACACACACTCACACACACAAATCCACACACACACATACAAATGCACACACACACACCAAATAAAAATGTAATAAAAATTTTAAAGCATTCTAGATCATTCTGAAAATATCTCTGAAAAGTAACATGCCAATCATCTTTTTAAATGTCATTATGGAACCCATTTAAATGTTTCTTTTGAGAAATATATTTTGACAGTGTATTGGAAATTAAAAAAGGTTTTGGTTTTGGGTTTTTTGTTTTTTTTGTTTTTTGTTTTTTTTTTTTTTAACTTGGGCTTTTTGGCCCTAGTGTCCTATGCCAATTGGAGCTCTGCACCACAGTCTTTCCAGGCTGTGACTCAGAATCTAAATGGGATCACTAACGCTGCCACTCAGTATGGAAGAAAATGAGCAAAGCCCAGTTGTTACCATTAACTTCTCTATGCTTATTCTACAGATTACCTTATGCTGAGCTGATCAAGGACTTTGAAAATGATTCCAAAGTTTCTCGTGGTGTCTTGCACACTGGCTGCCCTAACTCATTCACCTACATTTTCTCTCCAGTCAGGACAGCAGAAGGTTCTAGTAGTTTCCTTTGATGGATTCCGCTGGGATTACATATATAAAGTTCCAACACCTCATTTTCATTATCTCATGAAATACGGTGTGCACGTGAAGCAAGTCACTAATATTTTTATCACAAAGACCTACCCTAACCATTACACTTTGGTCACAGGTCTCTTTGCAGAGAATCATGGCATTGTTGCAAATGACATGTTTGATCCTAGTCTGAACAAATCTTTCTCCTTGGATCACATGGACATTTATGATTCTGAGTTTTGGGAAGAAGCCACACCAATATGGATCACAAACCAGAGGGCAGGGCATGCCAGTGGCGCAGCCATGTGGCCAGGAACAGATGTAAAGATCCATGAAAGTTTCCCTACCTACTACCTACCTTACAATGAGTCTGTTTCCTTTGAAGACAGAGTTGCCAAAATCATTGAATGGTTTACAGCCAAAGACCCCATCAATCTCGGTCTTCTCTACTGGGAAGAGCCTGATGACACGGGCCATGACGTGGGACCTGACAGTCCTCTCATGGGGCCTGTCATTTCAGACATTGACCACAAGTTAGGGTATCTGATCAAAATGCTGAAAAAGGCCAAGTTATGGAATAACGTAAACCTAATCATCACGAGTGATCATGGGATGGCCCAGTGTTCTAAGCAGAGGGTGATAGAACTTGACCGTTATCTGGATAAAGACCACTATACCCTGATTGACCACTCGCCTGTAGCTGCCATCCTGCCCAAAGAAGGTGAGTCCTCATGCCAATCCAAGCCTAGCACTGCGCATGCATGGTGTGGAAGCTCCTGTCCGTCCAGTACACTTGCCTGTGTCATGATAGTGTACTAAGATTTAGTGTCCTTAGACTTTGAAATACTGACATTTGAGCTATAGGTTTGAAGCATGTTAGAATCACAAAATATGATTAAAGTTCTGACTCTCCCTCTCGGGAGAAGTGGGTATGACCTTTGGATACAATTACAGTTCTCTCTTGGAAGACCGTGACCATCAATAGACCCTTAACCAAGGCCCTTTTTAAAAGGAAGCAGTAGAGATTATGGAGGAGAAAGTGCGTTTGCCAGTCTCAGGCTTATTTTCATTTTTGTCTGCAAGTTTTAACAGTACCTTGTATTCTTTGTAAATGTCTGCTGGAACCCTTCCCAAACTGTCACCTCGGTGTCGGCTACATTTAAAAGACTGGTAAATGTTTACCACCCAGAGGTCCCGGAATATGTAGCCAAACGTGCAAGGCCTGCCTTTCTGAATGAACCTGCAGCACCTTGGAGGGCTGGACCTAAGTATCAAGGGAGAGAATCGGTTGTGAGAAGCTTGCTAGCTCACCAGTGGGAGTTGCGTCCTCTCAGGGGAGCTAAGTAGAATCTATTAAGTAGCCATGTGGAAATACGCAGGCGTGCCTGTACACACGGTTTGCAACTCCTAGGTTACATCAACCCATTAGATTCCTGAAGGCAACTGGAATGGTATTGTGGTATTCTCAAAGAGCAAATGGATTTGACAAACAAGAGGTGGTGGCTAGGTTTGGTACGTTTGAGGTTCTGGGGAGTTCTCTATCCACTCCCCCCAATATATTGAGTGCCTTTCCATTTCTCAAGCCGCTTTGCTCCTCTGCTCATCCTCTCCATACCCCTGACCTCCACGTACCATGCCCTTTTCCAAATATTCTGTCTCTACATCACCAGGGACCGACCGCTATGTGTTAGTCTAGCTGTGCGCTCATTTGGGTTTCATGAAACCTTGGTGTTTAGGTAGTGTCTATAATACAGATGGGTGTGTGTGCATCCGTCTGCATATTTATGTCTTTAGAGAACAGTGATTACTGCTTCTCTCAAAGTCCCTTTATCCTGTAAGAGAGCAATGCTAGTGAAGAGTAGCCCTTTTCATCCCCCCCACAAGACCCTTTCTTGTTAAGGGTGTGGGGGTCTACCGTGCATGGCTCTGCTTCCTCCTCCTGGCCCTTTTCATTAGCCGGGAGTCTCTTTCCCACCATGGGTGGCTGCAGGAATATGAGTCTTGTTCTGAGGACCTCTCTGCTCCTTTCTGCTTAGGTAAATTAGATGAAGTCTATGATGCGCTGGCCGGTGCCCATCCTAATCTAACAGTCTACAAAAAGGAGGAAGTTCCAGAAAGATGGCATTACAAGCACAACGATCGAGTTCAACCGATCATAGCCGTGGCCGATGAAGGGTGGTATATTTTGCAGAATAAGTCAGATGATTTCCTGTGTGAGTATGTTATCGTATCTCTTCCCATTCTGCACCGTTTCTTGCTAACTTGGAGGCTGTGGATAATACAGCAGTTTACTTACTGATATTTTAATTCTCTGTTACTTAAATGTGAAAAGGATCTGTATTTAGAAATGTTTCTTAAGATATATACATGAGACACGTACAAAGTTGAGGATATAGCTTGGTGGCACACATACTTGCCTGGCCCTGGGCTTGATCCCCAGTGCTGGGGAAAAGGTATTAAAACATTGTTTTAGTAGAACTGAGTTCCTGCCCTGTTTAGTGCTCATCTGTTTAATTGATAACAACATTGAGAAATATGCCACAATATATTGTAATCCAGAATTGATTTAAAGGTGGTTGCGATGGTTTCTGTAAGAAGTTAAGATCTAGATTCTAAGTCCATATGAGAAAGCAATAATTCTCTCATATGACATGTACCAGAGAGGTACATGTGAAAGCAAAGTAGTTGCATGGCCATGTGCTTGCAGATGTGTACAGCTACACGCATTCCGGTTTCTAACCATATGTACCCACAGTCTATAAATCGGTATTTGATTACATTAAGAGAACTGGGAAGACTGTCATGGGGTGATTTCTGTCTTCATTTGTTCCATTTGATAACTGTGCAGGTAGATGGACTGCTCAGAAAAGATCTGCTGATCTCTGAGGACATTTCTCTTGTTTAGGTTAACGTACATTTAGGGAGGCATTGTGGGACTTTTGGCTCTGTGAACTGCAGTTGCTCAATAGGTCGTTCACATTCAATTTTTGATGGAAAACCCTCAGTGAGTCTGTTTCTGTTACATTATGCTCGTTTAGTCACTGGACAGGCTGTTACTGTGGTCCTTTTCTGCCAGAAGTCTACAAGTTACGGAGTCCAAAGGCAGGAGTTCTCAAAGTGCATTCCTTTGCACAGCAGTATGTAGATCAGCTTGAAGTGGCCATAAAGGCACATCTGTGGGCCCAGTTTAGATGTGCTGACTTGGACACTGTGAGGACATGGCCTAGCCTTTCTGGGGCCCAAGGAGTCTCATTCAGAGTGAGGTCTGAGAACCATCTCCCTTGAGTACTCATTATTAAAAACTGCCTATTGAATCAAACATCTATGGTAACAACTACCATTATAACAGGGACCCGGTCATTCATGATTTCCTCTCTGGTACATGTCATATGAGAGAATTATTGCTTTCTCATTTGGACTTAGAATCTAGATCTTAACTTCTTACAGAAACCATCGCAACCACCTTTAAATCAATTCTGGATTACAATATATTGTGGCATATTTCTCAATGTTGTTATCAATTAAACAGATGAGCAAAACACCCTGTCTGATATTTGCTATTGGCTTATAAGCCCAGCATCATTCTTCCTTGAATAAACTGAAAAGAATTACGTCATTCTTCTGCTGATAAATTTGACAGGAAGACATCATATTACTTTTGAAATGACAGATCAGTGACTTTCAGAGTCATTGACTTGAATTTTCATTCTCTACATTGGATGCTGTTGTAAATTTCCTTGTAGAAGGATAAGTAATAGATTTGGAGTTGTGAGTCATTTCCGTTACTCTCCAATACAGGCCTGTGGGTTTTCATCTTAGCAGTATCCATTGCCATGCTTTTGTTCTGATGCCATGCCAGCCATACTTACAGTTTTCAACATGCAGCTTTAACCCTTTGCTTTTGAATGGAATCACTGGGTATAAACCTCATAAGACCAACCTCTTAAGTTTTTATTTGTAGCTACACTAAGGCACAGAATACTAAGTTGTGTTTGAGCTGAGCCACCGAGTCCAGAGTTTTTACTCTGACCTTTGATTTTCACAGTGGGTCATAGCTGTGACTAAAGGATTGATTGCTATACTGTCTTGTGTTTATGTATTGCTTTTCACTTTCTATTGGTAATTATGGGGTTTGCTTTTATGATTAAGACTTATACCACCTTACTTTAGAACAACAGTTAGACATTGTGCCTACCCAATAAGTATTTGCTAAACATCAGCCTGCCACAGCACAAAACAAAATCAACCATCCATCTGCATTTCCCACCCTGACTTGGCCCTTCCTTCTTTGCTGTTTAAGGTAGTATAGACCATAAGAAAGATTTGTAACCATTTGACATTTGATTGCTTGATGTGATTTGTGGGGTTGACAGCAGCAGAGATTATAAAAAATTATTTCATTTTTATAAAGTCCAATTGGATAAAATTTGCACTTAAGGTCAGAACTTAACCATACAACAATTCTTCCCATTTTTAATGCCATCTGGTTGGCTAACTTATTCATGCATTTTCTCTTCACAGTAGGCAACCATGGTTATGATAATGCATTAGCAGAAATGCATCCAATATTTTTAGCCCACGGTCCTGCCTTCAGAAAGAATTTCACAAAAGAAGCCATGAACTCCACAGATCTGTACCCACTGCTCTGCCACCTCCTCAATATCACCGCCCTGCCACACAATGGATCATTCAGGAATGTCCAGGATCTTCTCAGTTCAGCAACTCCAAAAGCAATCCCGTACACACAGAGTACCACACACATCCTTGGTAGTGGCAAGCCAGGAGAGTATGAGCAAGAGGAGTCGTACCCTTATTACATAGGCATCTCTCTGGGCAGCATTATAACCATTGTATTCTCTGTAGTCCTCATTAAGCATTTAATTCACAGCCAAGTGCCTACTTTACAATATATGCAGGTAGAAGTGGCTCAACCATTACTACAAGCTTAGTGCTTCTTCAACATGGAATTGCACATTAAAGTGGAGGTTGCACAAGTATCACCATGGTGAGCCTTCAACTTCTAGGAAGCTAGTTACAGACATCCGCTTAGGCCATCAGGCAGTTAATCCATACTTGGCACACTCAAACCTTACATGCATACACAAACAGATCAGAACACTCCTATCTGCAATGATCAAAGATGTAAGAGTACCCCTCCACTGCTTTCTTTGGCTTGGTAGGCAGACCATGCTCTATTTGGGGTTGATACATATAATGTACATACGTAACAACTTTGCACAATGGAAAGTACCTCAGACGTTGCACTTTACTATCCTAGTAGGTACCCTTTTTTTTCTGAAATGCACTTTATCACTATGTCTAGTAACTTGGCTGAAGATGGCAACCTTTTGTATCTGTGTCACCAAATAATGGCATTTCGTGTACAGACTGAAGGGAGTTTCTAGCAATTCTACCTCCTTAAATAGGAGGAGGAGAAAGTGAAAGTGTTGAAATCAGTGGGACCAAGTTTGTAGCCTACATATTGAAGAGATGCATTTCCAGCAGCAGGTTGCATTGTGGACATGTCTAGTTATGTTTCCTCACCAAGGACCAAAGTTTCCAATTACTTCTTCCCTCCAATAGATTCAAACCCTGAAAGGTGCATTCTAAAGACTGCATTTCTACCCACTAGCTATTGCTCCTTGTTGATGAGTCCTAGCCCTGATTCCTTAATGAGGATGCCATGCACATAGACTTCTTTTCTGTCTATATAGCAGGGGCCTGAAGAGCAGAGACCAGGCACCATCTCTGCAGTGGTTTTTCTTACTGCCTGTCACTATTTGCATATTTGATACTAACACTATTAAGCACATTAAAAAAAAATCAAATGAGATTTAAAAAGTAGTGTCTGGTTTGGTTTATTTGTTGTTCCTGGTGGCTTCAAGTATAAAGATCTTTTAACCCAGAGTTGCAAAAGAGAACAAACCATATTAGGTGACCTATAGGGCACCCAACCCTAGGAAAGACTTCTGTGGAGCCTGGAAAACAATCTAAGCCGGACCTCAGATGAGGTGTGCACACTGTCACCACAGCAGCAAAGGGTACTGCTGGTAAGGGAAAAAAAAAATCTTCTGCCGAGAATAGGAACGGGAACACACAGAAACTCAGGTGGCCTAATTGTGCTTCAGGAAATATTTGAGTCTACCTGCCAGGTGTTTACTGAAGTCAAAGGTGAAGCCACTTTCCCAGATGTCTCACCACGCACTAGTGGTTTTCAGCTTCCTCATTGTCTCAGCCCCTCATGCCACAACAGCCTAAAGCTGTGCCTTTAGATGGCCAAGCAGTGAAAAGGACCCGCAGAAAAGCTTTCTCTGGAAACGATACCAAAATAGACACCAAGCCCAGAGAACACAGTCGATAGTCCTTTGCATATTCACATACCTGCTAGCTAATAACTAACGTGGCATCATTATTTCAGAGCAAAAGGACTGGTCATGTGTGGGAAGTAAGAGTGACAGGAACTGGATTTTAACGTCTGTCCTAAAATGAGGTGAATTGTTTATAAACGATTATACTGCTTCTCCTCAGGTAAAGAATGTTAGTGTAGAATTTTCATTTTACTAAAAAAAAAAAAACAAAAACCTCTAAATGGGGCAGAAGAGAAGAATACAAATAAACTGCCAGTATCCCAGAGGATGCTGGGAATTCAGACATCTGGCAGTAAATGCCTTGTGAGTTTAAACTGTGGCTGTCTGCATCCTGAATGTGTGTACACACATGGTGACTTACTGTAGCTTTGAACATTGGAGACACCATACAATGACTTGGAGACTAGTCTGTTTCAGGGTACCACTATTCAGATGCCATACGTGCGTTCAGCTGGGTGGGCTCAGTTCACTTTAGAAGGTGCTGTCATCTCAGAGCAAAGTGAGGAAAGCATCACAGTTTAGGTAGGGAGGTCTGACTCCTGGATGGTTTGTTACAGGGACCCACATCCCTGTAAAATCAGCAGTGAGAGGCGAGAGCAGAAAGAAAGTTATCAACTTTCCCGGAAAGCTCGTCATTTGGAACCCCTTGGTAGCTTTATTTTGTAGTTTAACCCAAATGTCTTCATGGTTCAGCTCTATGCAGTGAGCAGGAACAAGTCCTTGGCAGTAACACTAAGACTGCCTAACTTCATAACTGCAAGCAAGAGAGAATTTCAAATAGCTGAGTGGAGATCTTCTTTTCTCCTCAGTTTCCTCAGAGCCTCTTGCTTCTTTAGACATTGCCTACAATTAATTAGTTAATGTTTACTCCCTCCAGTACCTGCCATACATGTAAATGTTTTTCTAAACTCTGACTCTAAAGTTAGCATCTATTAGTTGTTTTTCCTACAAGAAATTATTCTGTCTTGACAAAAAAAAAAAAAAAAAAAAAAAAAAAAAAAAAATCTAAGAGACCTAGCTCATGTGGCTGTCAAATGTTTCTAGCTGCTCACTGGAATAACAACCTTTATTACTTTATTATAGTTACACAGCAAGGAATGGGCTCAGGGATTTATTCAATAATCTAATTTAACTCGGGCTCTCACACTCTTTTAGAGAAGTAACTTGCATGACCCCATGCCAGGGCTAGAAGCAGGACCCCGGTTTCTGATTTAGTTTACATGCTAAGTGGAGGTCAGTGGACTAATGGTCTTCTGAAATGGAAGCCTGCTGGTCCCACCCTAAGTGGGAAGTGGCTATGGAAGATTCTGCATTGGCAAGCTCCATACTACCACACTTGACTTCAGCTATGCAAACATTTTAGCTTCCTGATTGGCCAGTGCTACAGGACACACGTGGTCCCGAGTGCTGACTCTTGTCAGTATTTCCGTCTCCTCTGGATCTCCCCCTGGTAATCCTTACTATGGGGTAGACAATTTTGGACTGGGCACATGGCTCAGTTGGTAGGGTGCTTGCTGGACAGAAATGAGAACCCAAGTTGAAGAAGAAAACGCTGGGTGTGACCCAGGCTTGTATCCTCCTGGGGCCCATTGGCTGTAGTGAGATAGTCCTTCTGTAGCACTGACCACGCCCATTGGGGGGTGGAGCGATGGGCGGAGGTGACCTGAGGAAGGAGGTCGGAGGGGGCCAGGAAGGCGCTCTCTTTCTGGCGTGACTGGGACAGGAGAGGATCGGGTTGAATTTCCTGGTGTTCATCTGTCTAGGTTGTAAGTTATTTCTCCCTGAATAAACATCTATTCGGCCTATTTGTTTATCCTGATCCTTATTTACCGCAATAATTGGCCACCTAGGTTAGCCTAGGGATGCGCTCCAGGCAATGACTCTGTCTCAAAGAAAGAGGATGGGATTCTTGAGGACCAAGGAGTGACTCCTGAGGTTCTCTAGCCTCTACATAGTACATACACCTGCACACAAACACATAAACATGCATACACACACCCTGTAAAGAAAATCCAGAAATTGTATGGCTAGAAAGGATATGCTCAACATGCTTGGCCTTGTTCCTCCACAGTGAACACAGACATAGCCCTGGAAATGGGGCAAAAGGCTCTGAGAGGTGGTCAGAGAATGGCAAGCCGGTTAGGGGCCCAAAGGAAGGATGGCAAAGCAGAATGACAGGGCTTCACTTATTTGTCACCCAACAGAAGGGGTCAGCTTGCCCCTATTCCCAAAGCCCAGCCTAGCAAGAGGTTGATGGCAAGTCTATTTCCTTGCCTGACTTTTTTTGGTCTCATTCTATCAATCAGTTATGTTTAGGGATTTTGTATCTATTCCCATCAGTTTTTGATTTGTGTGTTTGGGGTGTACAATGCTCTCTCTTCCTCCCATATGTATGGGTCCTTTGACCATAATTCACTGTTCCTCTCCAGCATAAAATCTGGTCCTGAGAGGCTTTGACTTAGTCACAGCTAATCCAGATGATAGTTTCATATCAGTTTCTATGTGTTCAGTTTCAATTTGCAATTGAGTTGAGGTATCTCTCTTGTACACTGCCTACTGATACAGCTTTTTCATCCAATTTTATTAACCTCTGTCATTTTCATTCAAATACTTTGTTCCTTTACATTTAATTAGTTGTCAAGTTTAATTTTCCATTTTTCTACTTTCTCATTTAAGATAATTGTTCTATCTTACTGGATTTGATATCAGGTTTTTTTTTCACCTAAGAATTAATTTTTCTCTAAAACTTTTGTTATGGTGGTAAATGTAACACTATTAAAAAAAAAAGTCTCAAAAGGACTGTGGTCTTTGCCTGACACATGTTTGTACAATAGCTTAGAACCCTCTGAACCTGTTTTAGATACAGAAATTGATACAGTGACTATGGGGTAAGAGATACAATGTTTCACTATGGCAACTATTTTAATACCTGTATTTATTCCATGACATGGTACTGTATATATATACAATAAAATTCAATGTAAAAATAAAATAATTGGCAAGTAAATAAATGATTCCATTGCATTTTCTCTACAATTAGTAATTCCCTAGGAAATTGTCCGGTTCATGTGTATTTCCATATTTAGCTGTGCCAAAGAATGTAAAATGGATTCTTGTGATTAAAAGACATATGGAAACATCTGTACTCTTCCAACACCAACTCCATGACTCTAGCCTCTGAGCCCCACAGCCTTTTCCAGAACACACAGATGCCACTGGCAGCTCACATATGCACAGCTCTTCTTTTAGTCTCTATCTTTTGCTTCTTCTCGTTCTTTGAACTTCTGCAAACCAGAAGCACTAACTTTGTATTTGTCCCTGATTCTCCAGTCTTAGCAAGAGAGCTGGTCAGATCACAGGCTGTCCCATTAAGACAATAGAATTGCACACATCCTTTTACAAAGTAAAAATCCAAACAACAAAGGAGGTAAGGGAGGGCACCATCACAGAAAGTTAGAAAAAAAAAAAAAAAAAGCATTCAGTCTCTTCAGCATAATCAGTTGTTTGATCCACGTGGACCTAGAAAAAGAACGCCCTTCACAGCTTGGGCTGCAATGTTCTGTCAATGTCATACAAGTCACGGTGGTTGATATCCTCTGGTCTATTTCCTCTGGGGGCGGGGCTGTTCCAGTCTTACCATTTAGAGAGGAGTGGGAAATTCTTTAGTTATGGATAATTTCTGGGTCTGTGTTGGAGCTAGCAGCTACAGTCTTTATGAAAGTAAAGCATGGTGGCCATGAAACATAACTATGGGACTGGCTACTAGGCTGTCACACAGGAAAATGTGATTGGATACAGGTAGGCAGCTGGGTATCAGCATCATAGAGCTGCCAGTGGGGAGCCATTCGTTTCAATGCACTGATGGTGGAAATCGAGCTTCAGAGGTTAGTGTGAATGGCAGAAGGCCTGAGCAGCAAGTCTAGCATTTGCCTCCTGAGCAGCTCTGACTGTGGGACCAGAGTGAGGGCAGTGACCCTTTTGACACTCACGAATATCAGAATTTTGACAAATGAGCATCCTATGTGACATCACCCCAGGACCCAACTGAAACTCTGGACTTAACACATGTTCTCTCAAGCAATGGCTGATGTGTTCAGGGAGGGACAATGTAATAATACCTAGGAACAGAACCAATTACACAAGGGAAAGAGGCAGAATGGATATTCAAACTCTGGAAATGGAAGGCCTAGGGAATCATGCTGGGTTCAACAAACTCAACAGTAAGAGTTAAACCATAGGTAACTATGAGTCATCTGTTTGTTCAAATTTAGCCAATATTCAAAGATCTCTCTTCCAGAGTAAAGAAAGAATAGTTTTCCCAGTCCCCAGCAATGTTCACTAAATATAAAAATAATGAATGAATGCTCTTGTAGAGAGTATGTAGCTGAATCTATATGCTTTTGTCTAAGTCACCAAATGCCTATACGAATCCTACTGTTCTGTAATTAGTTTATAAAATTTCTTCCCTTTCATTGTAAGCCAGTGAATCTTAGATCAGGAGGTTCTGTAAATTTATTCCAGCTCTCTTGCCAAATACATCCTCATACTACATATATTTTATATTGTTTTAAAAATTGGCTGTTATACACCCTTAATCCTGGTTTTTAAAAAACTGTAATAAATGTCTATAAAGGTTTTCACAGAATTGCTCAAGTCCTGACAATTCATCTTTCACAGTATGTAGATTTTGTAAGAAGGTGAAAAATTATGAAGGCTGATACTGCATTTGTTTCAGGAGACTTTATTTACATAAATTTTAATCATAAGCAAAGTCATTAGCTACAAGTTCAAACAATCTGGTCAAAATGCATTTCCCTTTAACTTAAGGCACTACAAGTTTCCCTAAAGCACTCACTGTATTTACACACCACTTGAGAACTGACAATAAATAGACACTTTACAGCTCCATCTTTGTCCTTCATTTGTAATGATATAAATAAACAATGAAATGAACCACTCTACCTAAGAGGAATTAAAGCGAATCATCCTTAAAACTTACAAGTTGGGCACAGGAGGGAAACACCCAAGATCAGTGCAAAGGCATTTGATCCTTTAATATTCCAAGGCTTTACCTATGGATTCTTAAAGAAAAGCCTACTGGACAGCCCTGGTAGCAAACCTTTATCATACCCCTTCAAACCCCTTTGTTCTTCCAGAAGAGCACAGAAAAATAGATAACAACATGACTGTCCCTCTACTACGAAGTCCAGAGAGGTACTTAATTCTGAGCTGACTCATGGAAGTAACAAAAATACACCAACACTTTCCTATTGCCTTTAGGTACTGTCATCAAGAGCTAAATGTTTCCTGAAGCCAATACTTTATCCTGAACACAAAGTAGAGCAGAACTTTAGTTAATCATTTGACAACACACACACACACACACACACACACACACACACACACACACACACACAAACCTCCATGTCAAAGACTCGCTTTCCTACAAGGTTTTCTCAGAGCAGCACTGGAGTCATGGGCTTTAAGAGTGATAAATTGTTTCAAAGATACAAATGAATTAGCACAAAGTTCAATATAATAATCTATTTAATTAAGTAAATATTATTCTTGTTTCCTGAATACACACTTTATAAACCATTACCTGGTGCTAGTACCCTGAGAATAGAATAAAAGACAAAATAAATACATCTGTTGCAAGGGCACAGACACTGATAGGACTCCCTCCCTTCCTACCACACCCTTCCTTAAAACCCACTCACAGGTTTGACACTGTATAAGCCACAACTGAGCTAAGAGGGTGATTGGGACTCACCACACTGTTGGACTAAGCTGCCTTCAACTAACATTAAATACTCTGCTGGCAGACAGTTCAAAAGCATCCACTGTTTTTTTCAAAGTCACTATGGCAGTTCAGTTGTTGTATTTTAAAGATAGAAACTGAAGTATGTGGATATTTCTCTACTATTTTATTTCATCAACTCTTTATCTTTTAGTATCACTATTACATGTAACAGAAGTAAACCAGAACATTTATGAACAAAATCAGTCCTGTTCTATTTCTAAAATACCCATTTTAGAACCAACAGCACAGATTACAAATGTACAGAAATGCCTCTCAAAACCCCAAAAATTTGGGCACCAGATATAGGACTTAGGAAATTAGCAGTGAACCAATGCAATGCAACGTCTCTAAGATGAATGAGGGATGTCGTCTCTCTCAGATAGTGTTTAACTGTGCTGCACACTTACTCTAGAGCCATCTTATATATGAAAAGCAATAACCAAGTTTGTTTTACACTGTCAAAACTTCAAATATCACACAGGCCAATGAACCACTGATCTTCCCAATGGACATCAGGCTACTTGTCCTAATGATTCTGGTTCTGAGGCACCAATGCTTCATCACAAGTATATAGCTCCCAGGAAGGGTGTTAGGATGAGTCAAGGGAGGAAGCCGGAAGTGCAGGGCTGAAACTGCTCTGCCCCTTAGCACATGACCTCTGCAAAGAGCGGAAACCTAAACTCCACCTTGTGGTTCTTACCACCGTACAGAAGGCTGTACAGAAGGCACATTAAAAAGTCTCAAAGGTAAATATAAGCATCCTCACCTTGCAGCAGGTCGCATTTTTTTTCTACAGCATTTGAACACTTCCAATAGACAGGAGAACTGAAAACTGTGACTCGTAATTGTTGATGTTAGTATACAACTAAGGTGTGCAAGAAGTGGCCTTTACCCTGCGCAGATCCTCTCCTGACAGCCGTGTTCTGTTTTTGTAAGTCACATGGCATTGCCACATTCACACACACACAAAGACACTTGCACTCACAACTTACCAAAGGGTTAAATGAAAATGGGGACAAACATTTTGTTCTCTATTTTCTTTAACATTTCTTACCAACAATAGCATCCAAAAAGTGTAACTCAAGCAAACAAACAAAACCACAAGGTCTTGGTACATAGCCCAGTTGGACTGGGTCTCAGGGTCCTCTGCCTGCCTCCTCCTCCTCCTAACTATTTGGCCTCCGGGAGTTCACCACCATGCCCAGCTCCAAAGACAACATTTGAGGGGTTAACGGCTAAGGGTCTTAACAAGCTCAGACTTGACTTTAAATAGTCTTAGTTGGTTTTTGTTTGTTTTTAGCAGCTTTACTTAAAATTATTTCTTTGTATGCTACAACTATACTATGTGGCTAATTAATTTATTAACAATTACAGGATTTCCTACTTCAAGGGTCTTTTTGGGACTCACACTACTTAAAGGCAAATATAAAAATATAGCCACCTTTTCTCCAGGATACACAAAATTCATAAATTTACATAGTACATAAATATTGTGTCATTTACAAATATATAAATTTGTTACAAAAGCATGCCTATTAAATTCTGGTATATTTTCACTTAAAGTCAGATTTTTATTGAAAAAGAAAGAAACCAGAGTGCTTTTCTCAAAGGCTATTTCTTGTTAGTGAAAACAGGTGGTTTTAACGGTTCTACCAGCAACTCTACTACTGTTGGGGTCATTTATATCAGGCAACACAAACAAGACACAAGAAAAGCCAGAGTAATTTTAGCACGTCTGTCTTGTCTTTTGACATGTATATCCATATGGCTGTAACAACATTAGCTGCACGGATCCTTAGTTTTTAAATTAGTAAGACACTGTAGGTTACCCAATTAAAGGATCATCGTCATCTTCTTGCAGCTGGAGGCGAGCGAATGGGCGGGAGGCAGATGCTCTGTTCTGCATGAATATTATGAGGCCTGTGAGCATGGTTAATAGCAACAGTGCACTGATGACAATTCCGATGACTTCGGGGAGACTGATGCACCACTGGTCCACTAGCAAGCACTTGGCATGGCTGAACGTACCATTATTGGGATGTGGTTTTAGTCCCAGGATGTGGCACATCATTGGGTAAATATCCACAGTGTTAATGGTGCTCTGCCTGTAGCCTCTTCTAAAAGCAGGGCCATGGGCAGCAAGAAATGGATGCATTGAAGGCAGGGAATTGTCATAGCCATGGTCACCTACTGGAAAAAAAGACAAAATGATGTTATTAAACATCTATCTTTTATCACTATAAATTCACTAGCTTCTTGCCAGCTTAGTTCTCATCCATTCAGATTCTGGCTGGCTGCACTACAGGAGACATAAATAAAATCTGTATTTCCTTCAACTTAGGCCTGCCCCCATTTCATATGCACACACCTATCTTCCCACTGGATCTTGGCTTTAGACTTCGATACTTCTCGAACTGATGTACTTATGTTTCAGCCCGAGCCACTCACTTTACCTACCCATCTCCAGGGCTAGCTGTAAAAACTCACTATCAACAGCATGGGTAGCTTAAAGAAGTACTCAAGGGTTGAGTTCCTGAATAGCTGAGAGAGTAGAGGACAGAGTGTTGAATGAGAGGATGGGACTATCTCAATTGTTCCAGAAAAAAAATACCATGGCATAATGCATCACTGGCCTCCTGGCAGTTAATAAGCACCTCAAAAAGTCAGGAAGGTCAGATAAGTGACTTGTGTACTGAATGTAAAAGAAATTCAGACAATGCTAGCTCATAACTCCAGTAAATGTCTGGCTCAAAGAAAAGCATGGCTAACCATCCCTGGTAGAAACCCAAGCCTGGATTCTTGAGTTTCCCTCTAACCACCTCGCCTGTGAGTGTGTGTCCCTTGTATTTTGTGAGTTTCCATTTTAGGGATATGGAAGTTTGTTGCAGTGTTGTGGGACTGGTGTGACAAGTCTCCAATGATCCCACTGCAATTAAAATTTCAATTCAAGTCAGTATCATGGAGGCAGTATTGTTTGCTTAGATTGCAAAGGTTTTGTTCTCTGTTCTGTATTTCCCAAGTTTACAAAATAGGTATTTAAAGCAACAGATTGTTTTTTTCACAAGGTCACTTTGCCCTACCCTTGCCTGATACTTTCAAATTCCCATCCTGCAGCCTACAACCAAATTTGGTCCTTCACCTGCTTTTGTAAGCTAACTTTCACTACAACATACACCACTTCAGTTAGTGTATTAATTAGCCATAGCTGTTTTCACGCTAGAAACAAAGAGTCAAGTAGCTGAAACACAGACCAGCTGGCCCACAAAGCCAAAAATACTTAACTATTTTGCCTTTGTAAGGAAGTTTGCTGACTCCTGCAAGTCTTAAAGTCTTATAATTAAATACAAAATACAGGCGAATAACCTTCATTTGAGACAAGACATGTAACACACCCTTATACAGACAATGGTTGAGGAGGAGTTGTGATGTATCTACATTGCTAATTTGGTTAACTGTTTCCTGTTTCCTTTGAACTCTTGCCCAGTGCATTACAGCAGAACCACAGCATACAAAGAAGTGATTTCATCATCTAGGAAAGTCTGAGGATCACTCAGGTCAGTTTTTTGTTTTTTTGTTTTTTGTTTTTTTCATATGAGGGAAAGGAATTACAAAGTGAAACTGCACCTTCCCTGAAGGCTACACAGCCTCCTAATGGAAGATTGAAAGATTGAATCTGTGGCCATTATAAACGGCTATCAAATGAAAACCACGTGAGAACTACCATTGGGAAACCAAGTAGTATAAACATAACTGAATCAAAGTACCTGCCTTCCAAAACGAGGTCACAAATTATGATATAGCCCCAAGACTACAGAAATACCAGAAATAAATACTTACACTTTAATGATGACTTATTTAGAACAATTGTCCAGCCTTCATCAGCAACCAAAATAATGGGCTGAATTCGATCATTATGTTGGTAGTAAAATCTGTTAGGAATATCTTCTTTAAGATAAACATTCATGTAAGGGCTACAGTGTTTCAATCTGTCATAAACCTCTGTTATGTCTGTAAAAGGGATACAAAACGGAAAATCATGGTTGACTTAGATGCAAAGCTATACCTGATTAGCATAAATAGGAATACATTCTGTACAGTATTATCTGATTTTTAATCCTCCAAATAGAGTAATTATATCACAGCGTCAGAGATGGGTACACACACACACAGGAACTCTCATAACTCACACATCTCTTTTCTTTATGTGGCTTGTGCTGCCTGACTTAGGAAGGGGTCAGTTTTACAATGAGTTTCCTAAGCAAATATAAACTATGTATTACTACTGATTCCTAATTTCATCACTGGGAGGAATGTCCATCTTCCTTACTTGAAACAACTACTTACTTATTTTGGGAAGAATCGCAGCCACGGGGGTTAAGTCTATAACACTGTAGTTTGAACGGTCGATGCAGGAATCCAAATCTATCAGTCTGTTTTCAGAACACTGAGCCATCCCATGATCACTTGTAATGATCACATTAAGGTCTTCCCACAGTCCTAACACCTTGAGCTTTTGTACAAGATTGCCAATAAGGTCATCTATTTCTTTCAATACCCTGCTCATATTTTCTTTGTCTTCAGGGCCATATTTATGGCCACTTGCATCTGGTTCTTCCCAATAGAGTGTAGCAAAGGTGACTGGGGGATTGGAACTACTGAGCCACGTGGTAACATTATTTAGTCTCTCCTCAAAGGGCACCGAGCTGCTGTAATTCATAAAATAGGAAGGTGTAACATTGTGAATGGGCACATCAGTACCAGGCCACATGGCAGCAGCACTTGATCTGTTTCCTTGAAGCTGATTGGTCACCCAAATAGGCACTGCCCCATTCCACCAAAATGGATCCTTATCATTAGATTCAGAAAAATGTTTCTTTGTGACGTCGTCATACATGGTGTTGGCCACAATGCCATGGCTTTCCTCATATAAGCCTGTCACGATGCTGTAGTGGTTTGGAAACGTTTTTGTGATGAATACGTTGGTAACATGTTCCACCAAGACACCTTCTTTGATAAAGTTCTGGAGATGAGGGAGGTCATAGTTCTTTAGGTAGTCAGCCCTAAAGCCATCAAAGGACACCAGAAGTAACTGCGGTGTCAAGCTATAGGGAGAGTTACCGATACAACCAGTGAGAAGTCCCAGAAATAAAAGTATCACTAGTAACTTCATAATGGACATGTGGAACACAGCAGCCAGGGCTCCTGAAATATAAAAACACAATTCAGGAAGTTTCAGAAATTTAACCAGCAGATGAGATATAGCAGCTTTGCTGATGCCAACTTAGAACTTCAATTTAAAGATGACAAGAAAGTTGACACGCAAGAAAAAAAAATGCCTTTACTTGTCCAGTTTCCTACTGATGTCTGTCCCACATATCACCAAGCTCTGCAGGGAAAATGGGGCTTGTCTTGCCATCCCCATAAACATTCCTCATCTATTTTTCTCATCTAAAGGTTTATGAAAAATAGATGAAAACATAAAACTGATTCTTTTGTTCAAAATACAAATAATTCCAAGCTTTCGGGAGTTTTGTTAGTTTGCTTTAATCCACATGCAGAGCGGGTAGAAATTCTGCCACACTGGCTTATTGCCAGTTTGTATTTAAGAGAAAGAATTCTGCTCTAAAGTATAAACAAAATAAATAAAATAAAAAATGCTACCAGAGGGGGGAATCTCATCGTGCACTTGGCTCCAATCTTGACATGAAGTTGACTAAGAGACAACACTTATAAAGACTTGGATGCCACAGTGACTTCAGAAGAAATGTAAGTAACTAAAAGGAATTTCATCTGTATACCACCTTGAAGTCCCATGGTATTGTTTTAGTCCTAACTATGTTCCCTGATATCCCAGGTTCAGGGTTATTTTTAATTACTCTTTAAAAATGATCCATTGGTTACTGGATTGAGTATGTGGAATTTCACAGTGTGTCTAAAACTTTTCAAATACAATTACGTCTACTAGAGAGACGAGGAGAAAACCCAATGGATGCTGCAAAGAGAGCCGGATAGCCACATGCAAAAGAGTTAACATGGTGTTCCCGTATCCAGTTATCCTGAGGAGTCAACTCAAAACCCATCACAGACCTATATGAAAGCTAAAGTTGCAAAGTTCTAGAGGGAAATCTAGCAGTGACTCTTCATAACCTTAGATTATGTCCAAAACTTAGATGCTATGTAAAAGTGAAAGAGGGGTTCACAAATGATGACCTCTTGTATGATGCCATTTAGATGGTGCTTAGAAGGTGCAATTCCACAGAGGTAAGAGAGCATGGACAGTTACTCAGGGGTAGGCTTGGGAGGAAGTGCCAGTAAATGCCAATGGGAGGGAAGTTTCTTTTCTTTCTTTTCAGGGGTAGTGAAAAGTATTTTCAAATTGACTGTGATGATGGTTATAATTCCATACAGCTATGTGCTTACATGAGTGAATTAAATGTAGGTGTCTTATACATCAATACAATTATCTTTTAAAATGAAACTGTATTCTTAGCTCTCCCACCACAAAGTAACAAACATCTTCATTACCTCATTTTACATAAAAATGGTGTGAATTATGCATCTTCTAATGTAGATTTGGGTGTTTTAACAGGAGACTATTTTGCACTACTTCATATAGGCAAACACATAACAAAATCCTGTGTTTGCCTTCTCCAACAAAATACAAACAACAACAAAACATCGTTCTTCCTCAAATCCTAAATTTAAAGGACATTCAAAACACACATGTTATTATAAAACCTAGGATTAGGAAAACCCAGCAAGTCTACCTACCACACTAGAGCATTACAGGCTTAGGTTGGAAGTGGGCACGGAAAAGCCACTTCCAAGCATTAGCATTCCATCTGAGCTATGGTGCAAGGAAATATAAATGCGGTTTTAAATTAGCGTTATCCATTATCACTTGTGGGCACGGTAGCCTAACAGGTGGTTTACTCAAACATCTTTATTAAGTACTTAACAATCTAAGGGAAGAAACCCAACTCCCTGAGAGCTTTCTCTTACAAGAGTCTATTCTAAATGGTTCTCCGCCATTCCAGGCCACCTAAGATTTTTCTAGCATCTTCAAGTCACTCCGTCTATCTTGCTGTGCATAAAATGTCCCTCTTTAAGTACTCATTGAGGATCCAGCAAAATTTCTTCCCAATACACTGTGCAAAGCTGATTGGGGTATTGGGGTATGGGGGGGGGGGAGTGCTCGAAAGCTTATTGTTCCTTTAAAACCGGGAAATGTCTGGCAAAACCACACTTGGGCGTCCCTGCAGCAGACAGCCCGGCTGGAGTCCTACCAAAGGTGCACCGGAATTTTCCGGTCACGAGCTGGACAGCCCTCAAGGCTCCGGGCTGGGACCAGCTTGGGACCGGTTGTTTGTGCCGCGCCTGACCAGCAGCATCCGGCATCTCCCTCCGCTCGCTCGCCCGCTCGCTCTCTAGTATTTTAGGACGTTCGAGAACGTCACGTTGCCTGCACGACAGCACTAACAGGAGCGGACACCCAGGCAGTCGCCGGGCCAGCACGCCTGTCCCGGACCCCCGCCCTCACCTCGGGCCACAGATCGCATTCACCTGCCGCGGTCCGCTCCGCCGCCCCGCGCACCCCTCGCGCGTCCCCGCCGGGAGACGGGAGCCTCGCGTGGAGGAGAGGGGACAAACTCCCACTGTCACTACTGTCCGCCCTCGGCGAGCTGGGAAGGGAGTGGCATTGCCCTGCGAGACTCACCCGCCACCGCGGCCACCTCGGTCGGGCGCGCGGAACTCGGCGCTAGCGGAACCGCGCGCTCCCGGGTACTTGCGGGCGAGCGGGCGAGCGGGCGAGCGGACGCGGGCGGAGCGCGGCTCGGCCGAGCGCTTCCTGGGGCGCCTGCGCAGTAGCCCACCAGGCCCGGGACAGCGGGACGCCGCCGAGAAGGGCGCTGCTGGCGGCGCTCTGAGTGCGCAGCTGCCGGGCACCGGGCGCAGCGGCTGGGACCCGAGGCCAGTCTGAGACGCGTACCTGGATTGGGTGCCCGAGCCTTCCCTGAATGAGACTCCCTTTCCCATTGGTCCGTTTCACGTGCCACTCGGAGACAGGTGAAGTCAAACTGGACCAGGGGAGTGGGGAGGGAGGGGTGGCGCAAGGTTTGCTCCTCTCTCTCCCACCAAGCCCTCTTCTTAGCATCCTAGTTCTGGGTGCCTAGTTTTAGCCCAGTCTCTTCTGCCTTCACCCGTGCAAGGAAAGAAACTCTGAAACAAACAGTTCACGTTTTCTGGTCATGTTTTCTGCGTTTTGGAACTCCCTTTCTGTTACAGACTCTGGTCATCGCCTCTGGACAGTAATTCTGTTGAGAACAGGGTGTTGACCTGCGTCTACAGTCCCCAATAAAAGTCAATTAGGGTCGTCAAACTAAGTTTGTTCCTGTTTTCCCTTTTCACACAGCTACGTATATGAAACCATGCCCTTCCCTTTAAAAAAAGAACGTCAGTCAACTAGCTGAACAATCGAAACAGAGATATATCTAATGTTTGTATTGCTCAGACACTGTTGACGAGAGGCTAGTGCTTTTCTTTGTATGTGTAATGCTCAGATATGAACCCGACGTTGAAATAATTCCCTCTTTGTTGGATTTAATGAGTGATTTTAAGACACTCCATGTTTAATGCAAGTGCCCACAGAATATTTGCATTACTGTATCCACACCAGATACTCTAAAAGTACAATGGCATGAGTTAAGGATATCACAATCATATACTATACCCTGGGACCTAAAGCACTTAGCGGTGAAACCAGTAGCTGGATTTATCCGGTCCTTGCAGCAGTGGTCGTTAAATGTCAGACTGAATTTGGTACATTGGTCAGAGTTGAGAGTATAGCCATAGCTAAGAACATGGGTGCGAACGAGGGAGCGGTTTGAATCAGAATGTGATCTGTTCAGGATTAATTTGTCTTGAGAAATCGATTCCAGTTTCAGCCTCCAATAGCCCCGTGCATTAGAAAGTGGAGCCTTTTTTGGACCCACGGTTTGTCTTTGCTGAAACCTTGGTAGAAGCCATCTAACCCAGCCCTTGAATCTGCCAACCCTGAGAACCCTTGGTGCTTGCCTCATGTGTGAACTTCACCTTCTCAAGTGGCACACGAAGCTCTGCAGTACCAGCGTTTCGGGATTCTTGTCAGATAAGTACAGTCCAGTTAATAAAGCTCACTCAGCACAGTCACTGAATGACATTAGTTGTGATTGTCATAATGATGACTCAAGAGTGTCCCCCCATTTTGAACAACAGTTAGGGTAAGATGGAGCTCCAGGAGAGTTTTTTTTTTTGGATACAGTTTAGCAGAACTTAATCTTCCACATTTGGGGACTTATGCTACATATTCTGCTGCTACCTTACTAGGGACACAATTGCTTTAAAAAAAAAAATAGACTTGAGTGCTGTATAGGCGGCATGTGTAGTGAAGAAAAGCTTCCTCATCCACTGCTCCGGCCTGTGTGTGTAGGCTCAGGGTCCCGTTCAGTTTGGCCACCTCCACTGTTGTAAGATTGGCTAGTCAAAAACTAAGAGAAGAAGCGGGCAGTGGTGGTGCACACCTTTAATCCCAGAGCAGGTGGCAGAAGCAGGTGGATCTCTGAGAGTATGAGGTCAACCTGGTCTACTGAGTGAATGCCAGGAAGGCTCCAAAGCTATACAGAGAAACCCTGCCTCGAAAAACCAAAGCAGAGCAAATCAATCAATCAACCCAACAAGCAAAAACCCTAAGGGACAAAACTATTTCTTTTGGCACCAGACTGCTGACATCCCTCACATTATTTCCCTTATCAACCATAATTGAAATCTTGTGTCAAAGCCTAAATGATATGGGCCATTTGTTTCCTTGTAGAAGAAGCAGAAGGTGCGCTTCAGAAATCGCTGTCTCTGCAGTTTAGCAAGGGAGACATTACTCAAGCATGCCGCTCTTTCTTTCTACCTGGAAATTGATTGGCATCTGGTTCCTTTCATGAGAAAGATAACTACCTGCAGTTGCAGGGATGATAGGATCTATTTGTTTTTTCATGCTACTTGGGTAATATACAAGACTTCTCAGGGGTTTGATCTCTTAGTGATATTACCTCCATTTCAGTTAGACTAGTTGATGTCTCACATGCCCAGCTGTGAGTGAGTGAAAGCAAAAACAGGTGCCCACCAGTCTCTCCAGCCATACCCTAAGATGAACACTGGGCAGGGACTATTTTCCCCAAACTTCTTTTTTTCCTTATAGGTTTGAGATGGAGTGGGTGTTGGAAAGTCTACGAAATATCCTTCTAGATATATAAATGTAAAAGAATGTGACATTAATACTGGTCTTCACTTCCAATGTAATTTTTTACTTAAATATTGTTTTACTTAGGTAGACAAACGAGTAACATTCACTTTAATATTCTTTCATCTCAGCTTTTTGGAAAGAGAGCCTTTATGGTGTGGGATATACTTTTAGATGTGTTACATTTGTTTATGCAGTGGGATATTTGTTCAATGGTACAAAGATGTGTTCCGTTCTTTTGTGCTGCATTTGTTTAACTCTGTGAAGCTGTGTTACTTTGCCTGCCTAAAACACCTGATTACTCTAATAAAGAGCTGAATGGCCAACAGCTGGGGTGGGGCTGCCAGGCAGAAAGAATATATGGAGGATCAAAACAGGAGAATGCCAGAGGCCAGTCACCTAGCAACACAGCCAGCCATGGAGTGAGAAGGAAAGAAAGAGATATAGGATAAAGAAATGTTAAAGCCCAGAGACAAAAGATAGATGGGATAATTTAAGAAAAGCTGGCAAGAAACAAGCCAAGCTAAGTTCAGGCATTTGAAAGAAAAAGACTAAGACTGTATTTATTTGGGAGCTGGGTGGTGCCCCCCCCCAAGAGTAAAAGAGTTTAAAAAAAAAACCCACCATTTTGTGTTAGAGACTGCAAGGAAGCAATAATCTAAACTTACTCACAATTGAATCATGTGTCCTAGGGGAAAAAAAAAAACGGGTCAGGCTGAATTCACACAGACTAATGTCCTTGTCTCCATAGTCAATGCCAGATTTGAGAGCAGCATGTCAATGGTTGTTTTCTTTTATCCCATGAACTACGTTCAAGGGTTCCCATCTGTTCACTACTTCAAGATATTAAAATGATCTTATTCTGTTTTCAAAGCTAAGGGTATATCTCTTTATGCATGTCCCTCCCCCCCCCAAAAAAAAACAAACAAACAAAAAAAAAAAAAAAAAACCTGATATCTAACTCACTGTTGGCAGGAGTTAGGTCAGAAGTTACAGGAAAATGGTTTCAGAGCAAAAGCCACACCCTTGCCAAAACAAAACAAGCCCTGTTCACTGTTCTAATAAGACAGTCACAAAACACAAGTGAGTGAACCAGCTCTTGAGGAGAGTGGCTTAAAGTGCAGATGTATACTAGCTATTTATGTAAAGAAATACAGTGTAGGTTTTATTGTAGCCATAAGGCATAAAACTACCCTATGAAACAAAGCTACCTGGTGATTTTGAAGAGTCCAGTGAATGAAATCATCCACCTACCTTGCTTGAAGCAATAGTGTATTTGAGTGATCTCAGTTAGGAGAGATGGAGATTCTACCACAATGAAATGCTGTTTAAAATGGCCCTATATCATCTACTGTGGCATTTCTTCATCCTAAGAGATATTTCCCCAAGTATTTAATAAAATTAAAGAAAGAGAACAAATTCTTTAGAGGCTTTCTTATATGGAGAGTAATGCGCTCACCCTCCCAAAGAAATGAAAATGAGTAGCATTCATTCCCTGCCTTCACAGGGCCTCTAATCTAAAAGGATGAGCAGGAAAGGTGTCCACCTGCCCTTTCATCCTTTTTCTTGTGGTTCTAATGGAGACTACCCACTTTCTCTTTTTTAAGGATTTATATGTATTATGTTTTAATCGTGTGGATGTGAGTGTCTGTGTGGCTACGTGCAAATGAGGACAGCTGCCTGAGGAAGTCAGGGGCCTCAGGTCCTCCCGGAGCTGATGTTTCAGGCAGTTGTAACTTGCCTTTGTGAGTGTTTGGAAGCTACCTCAGATCCTCTGGATGAACACTGCATGCTTTTTACCACAGAGCCATCTCTCTAGCGTGACCCTACCCCCACCATTCTTAGTCTGTGAGAGCTCAGTGAGGGTAGCCATAGTACTTCCCTATCCCCAGCTAAGGTGCCAGCTGTCTTGGTTTACAGTATGTTGAGGACTTTCCTGGGGATTTTTAAAATATAGAATCAGAAGACTAACAAACAAATTGGACTGAGTTAGTCAAAACTGAGCCTAGCCTGTCCTGTTGGAGTAATTCCATCCCACTACCCAAAGGAATTTGTTCAGTCATGGGGACTTGGTACAATGTCTAAACATTTGTTGGAATAATTAGATAAGTCTGTGTTTCACCACACTTGCTACATTGGAAGGCTGTAAGCCTGGAGCTCATCCTGCTCAACCTTGTCACTGGAGAGGGAAGGACTCTGGGGTAAAAGCTGAAGAAAGCAGAGCCAAGAGTCGGAGCCTAACACTTGAGGACAATGACTACTCATATCCAGGTTCCCTTGCAACATCATTCTGAAAGCAGTGTGCATGCCTCGGTAAATTACTTATCATTATTATCATTATCGTTTTTGTTGATTTTGTGCCTGTGTGTACACACATGTGTGTATGTCACAGCACATGTCCTTAATTTACACCTTGTCATCAGAAGCAAAGCCTCTTTGTTGTTGTGCTGTGTACATGAGGCTTTCTGGCTCATGAGCTTCTAAAGGATAGCATGTCTCTTCTTCCCATCTCACCTTAAAAGCATGTGTATTATAGATCCTC